TGGCGAAAGTACAGGGATGTGTTGGCGAAGGTACGGTGGACTTTCGCCAATTGACAAAATTCCAAGGTATGTATTGGTGAAAGTACAGCGGACGTTCGCCAATTGACGAAAGTATAGTGGAGTTTTGTCAGCCGTCACAAAATAATATTAATACAGGATACATGTAAGGGCTAAAGCTAATACTGTTAGAATATATACTATAGCTTACGCTTAAAGTATATTCATATATGAGGGAAGCATGTTTTTAATAAGAAAAAAGCGAGATTAATATGAAGAAAAAGGAGTCTATGGGCTTTTTTATTTCAAACTGAATTCCAAAATCAAAAAAACCACACCAATTTCTTCCGAATCAAACTTTTCTCGCTTGATACTACGTAGTCTCACTAAAAACCCTTAGTCCCTCCTAGTCCTGCAAAGTCCCCCTTAGTCCCCCCCACAAAAAGCTTAGTCCCCGCTTAGTCCCTTGTGCAGGGGACTAAAGCCTATAGTACACAAAACCACAAGCACACCCGCACCATGGGTGTGGATGTGTGTGTGGGTCCCAGACCAACACCCACACCCTCAGTCACCCCCCCCCCCCCTCACTCCTAGACTCACGTTTCAGTTTGAAATCAAGTATTATTTTTATTTGATAAATTCAGACTGAAATTAAATAGCCCATTGTATGAGAAAAAGGCAAATAAAGCATAACCTAATGTTCATCTGATGATGCACCTGATAAGTCTGATTTCGAAACATTAATTTTTTTTCTTTCCCTTTCGTCCACGACAAAACAGGTTCACCAACAAGATGAGAAAGAGACTTGATTGTATTAGCTAATGATCTTGTATTTCACGCTAACAAAGGGCGGCATAATTATTATCTAAAATGCCATAAAAAATATATGACTACAACATACACAAACGTAACTTATTAATATAGTCGATGCACATTTTCTAATTCACGTCTAATTAGCACTTAAATTGAGGAAACTCTCCTATACTTTCGCCAACTGGCGAAACTCCATGAAGTGTGTTGGCGAAAGTACAGTGGACATTCGCCAATTGGCGATATTCCAGTGTGTCTATTGGCGAAAGTATAGTGGAGTTTCGCCTTTAACGAAAGTGCTATTTGGCGAAAGTTTTATTGGCGAAGATCCGAAATCCCCTAAGACTATCTAAATTCGGATAATCGGCAGCACATAAAACATGTTTCATGAATGATGATTCAAGATGAAGCCATTTGATTTTATCATGAATCGAAGGTAAAACTTGTGAACAAAATCTATTAAGCACCATATTACAAGAACATAGATCGATAAAGTTATGTTCAAACCATTCAGCAAAAGTCAAATGACTTGTAAAAATTAGATTATGAACAACTTTATTTAGTCGCTGATTGACACCTTCTAATGAATAAAGTACATCCATAATGTCCAGTTTTTGGAAAATATAAATAAGAATTTCATCAGGTAAATCATCCAATCTAACGCATGAATATTTCATGCTTTTTTTCACTCATCTATTTTTTTCAACTTACGAAGGCCAGTATTTATATGTATACAGTCGTCTGTTCTGTTTGACCCATATCATCCATACAACCAAGAATGAATTTTTTTTATAGTCAAAATTGGAAACGAATAAATGTATAATAGAAAGAATGTTGTTATTTCTTTTTCTTACGTGTCTAATATGGGGTCAAACCAAGGGGGAAAAAGCGAAATTTGCAGAGCGCTTACTCCCACCATACTCCCATTGTACTCCCATTGTACTCGCATCGTACTCCCATCGTACTCCCATTGTACTCCCACCGTACTCCCACCGTACTCCCACCGTACTCCCACTGTACTCCCATCGTACTCCCACTGTACTCCCATTGTACTTCCAAAAGTATGGGAGTAGATGCGGTATCGCTTTTTCCCCCTTGGGTCAAACACACTTGAAAAATGAATTAACGTTAAAGTTGAATTAAGCAATGTAATTGGTTAGTCCAGAGTAAAGTCATCTTTTTGTGACGATTGGGGTGTGAGTGTGAATACTAATCCCACACCCACACACCCACACCCTGATTTTCCTACCTAGAATAAGGTAGATGCAGAAAAATTGAACAACTCAATTTCAATCTGAAATTTTACTCAAATGTATGTTTCGTGGTTTCTGGAACGCTCTAAATTTTTTATGGAAAAAAATGCATTTTTGTTGTGATAATGAGCTGTATAAAAAAAGGTCAATCGGACTAGACTGTGTAGATTATAAGACGAATTTTTAAGAATCGACGTCTACAAAAGTAAGCACTTTTTTCCGTGGAAACACATTGGGTGTTGCAATGACTATGAGAGCTACATTTGAGCAAAATTTCAGACCGAACCTATTTTATTCGATTTATTGGTATATACCTTGTTTTAGGTAGAAAAAAATTAGTAAAATTATCGTAAACTTCGAAGGAAGCTTCATTAGTCCAAACCATCATAGAATTTTTCTTAGAAGAATGATCCTTATATATGGAAAAAATTTCATAGAAAATAGCATGTGTCAGTTAGAAATGTTCCCTCAAAAGTAGTTATCAAGGTCATCATTTTCTGAACTATCTTCGGATATGACCAATAAGTTAAAAACAATTGTTTTAATAGACTGTAATTCGATTAAACATTCAACTTCTTTCAACAATAAAAACTGTAAATTAAATTGATCACTATAACTATATTATGCGTCAGATATTTCAAAGAAAGTTTCGCTTAATGTTTAGAAAGGTGTATTTTCACTTTCAAAATAGTTCATTGATGATTATTATAAATTGTTTTGAGCAAGCATTCTACAATATGCTCCACGTCGTTGTGCCAATTCCGTATGAGTACCACTTTCCACTATATGTCCTCTATCCAGTACGCAAATCAAATCACATGAACGAATAGTTGAAAGACGATGAGCAATAATAAGTGATGTTCGACTAGGATTTTCGGTTTGAGCTTGTTCGAGAGCTTCTTGTACAATCTGTAATTGACAAATGAAGATGATATTTCGATTGATAAACAAAAAAAAGTAAACATACTTGTTCATTGTGTGAATCCATGGCACTTGTAGCTTCATCTAAGAGCAATACTGTAGGTCGACGAACAAGAACTCGAGCAATAGCAATACGTTGCTTCTCACCACCCGACAGAAAACTGCCTTTCAATCCTACTTTTGTTTCATAACCCTAAAAAAACCTCATACAATAGTAATAGATACATCATATAGTTTTGAATTGTTTAACCTGAGGCAATTGCTCAATAAATTGATGAATATTAGCTCTATTTGCTGCGTGGATAATATCTTCCATTGAAACATTTTCTAAACCATATGCTATATTTTCAGCAATTGTTAAATCGAACAAGATTGGTTCTTGACTGACAAGACCAAATTGAGAGCGAACCCACTGAAGGTTCAATTGTTGAATATCGATGTCATCAAGAAGCTAGATTGAGTGGATACATTTCATATAATTACTTAAATTATAAGGAAAAAGAATACAAACTAGTCGACCACTTGTAACATTGTAGAATCGTTCCAAAAGTTGAATAATTGTTGATTTTCCATACCCAGATGCCCCTGTACGACTCATATTACGTAAACAAAATTTAAAAGAAATATTTAATTCAAACATACCAACAATAGCCACACGTTGACCTTATCAGGGAATAGAAATATTTTAAAAAAATGATGAAACAGAAATTTATCTCACTTACTTGGTCTAATATTCAATTGAAATTTGTTAAGAATAATAGATGTTGGTCGAGTTGGATAGGTAAATTTGACTTGATCAAATTTTATCTCACCACGAAAATCAATCTGCACAAACCATAGTATATCCATGGTATGTTCATGATTGAAAGAATATAGTTATCTTATATGTTCTCTTACCAATTCTTGTCCTTCAGTAGATGTATTGTCGATAACTGGTTTTCGATCAAATAAATCAAAAAACGTTTTAGCAGCTGAGACTGATGTAGCCATGCGCTTAGTTCTAGAATGGAGACAGTAGAAAAATAGCAAAGTAGAGATTGAAAGTGTTACATCAATGCGATGAGTTTTAGTGCCCGTAACGAAAAAACAGCAAAAGCAAAGACCCTAATAAATTAAAAAGATAATAAAACGTTATCTCTAGATTATCAAACTGTAGTTTCAATTACATTATAATACGCTCCGAGGTAAGTTCGTTCTTTTCAATAAGGACGAGAGCACGCCAATACACAAAAGCCATAGTGTATGAATCTGTTATCCAGAATAGAGCATGTGTAATTGAATGTAGTATCACAGGTTTGCAAGATGATCTAGGACAAAACAAGATTAATGTAAAATTCATACATGTATTGAATTCAATTGACTAACAGAAATACTTGATAAATAAGTTCAGAATATTGTCGTAAAACTTCCTTTTCTATTGACAACTGTTTTATAGTACGTATATTGTGAAGAACTTCAGCAGTAAGCTACACAAGTAAAATCCAGAATGAATATAGTGTATTTTATATATCAAAAAATTCATGATAAATTAATTTTTCCTAGAAAAAAATGATTATAAGTGAAAACCTTAACGTACCGAGCTTGCTCGTCCGATAATTTGATTAGATTTTTTCTTCAGTCGTATCTGTAAGGACAAATCTGCATAGGCAATTGAGAATAGGATAAAAAGAGGACCAAAAACGATCAATGTTAATTGCCAACTTATGAAACATCCAAATAGAACCCCAAAAAACGATAGTGCGATAGCTTCACAGATGACTCCTAACTGTGTACCAGTCATATCTTGGATGGCTGATGCATCAGAAGAAAGGCGAACACAAATCGCACCGGAACTATTTTCAGGTCGATCGAAAAAAGCAACTTCTTGACGAAGTAGACATGTAAAAGCTTTCAAACGAATGCGTTGCGTCAATTTCGATCCTGCTATGGCAAAAGCTGTATACTAAAGAAAAGAATGAATGAATCATTGATGAAATTCAGAAGCAGTATTTTTACTTGAAAGAAGCGAAGAATCAATAAAGCAACGCCCAAAAGTAAAAAGAGAAGACTTGTAATCAACACTTGATGACGTTGTTCAGATGTTAAACAATATTTGAATGCCTATACAATAAACAAATCGACGTTAGACAATGTATATTGTCAATCTTGTCAGGCCGATATGGCTGAATGGTTAAGATGCTCGACACATACTCACAAGGTACTGTGTTCGAACCTCGGCTCTATCAGTCATAAAAATGACCTTGGACAAGTCACTAACGACTGCTTTGTCTCGGATCACCCATCCGATAACAAACTGACTACGTGGTTGACATACACTAAAGCCCTTGTGGCTAGTATGTGGTTAGTCAGTATGTATGGGGGCTTAAGTGATTAAGCGGGAGAACTCTGAGTCAGGCCGGCCTTCTGTCCAGAACTACATTTAGTAATAGATGTAGGAAAAAATATCGGGCTCTCGAAACTGTTCTCGGACAGCACCCTACACCGCAAGGTAGCCGAAAGGTGGGGTATTCTTCTTCTTCTTCTTCAATCTTGTCTCACAATTTTTATATGGGTATATTACTCACATGGACTATTTTGGCAAGTAGAAATGCGAACAATGATTGAGCTCCGCCATTGAGTGCGCATGCTATACATCCAATCATGATGGTGACCCACTCAGGACTATTCATTGATAAGAGTCTTAAAAAGACAAATCTTCGTCCGAATGGCTTCGAGCTGTGCTAAAAGAGAGATTATCAATAATGGTTTTCATAGATTATTGCAGTAGTATTTGTACTTTGTTCATGTCAACAATTTCACTATCGCTAAATAAACGGGAGCGTTCAACTGCTAAAGGAAAAAGACGAAGACAAGTGAACACTATTACTATTAGAATATTAACATACATGTCCGCTTTTCATCTTCTTCTATTGCTTTTTGCATGCTCGTTATATCATCTTTATCATCATCGATTTTTTCAATTTGTTGACGTGTGGCTATTGCTTGATATTTTCCTCCTTCTTTTGCCATTAATGTTTCATGCGTACCTTGTTCAATAACACTTCCATTATCTAATACATATATTTGATGAGCATTTTGAATTGTAGTCAAACGATGAGCAATAACAATAGTTGTACGACCTATAAAGAATGATATATCAATACGATATGCAGAAAAAAAGTCATTATTACTTTTGCATGCTCGATCGAGTGCTTCTTGAACAACTTGTTCGCTAACACTATCAAGTGCACTTGTTGCTTCATCGAGTAAAAGGAAGGCAGGCTGTTTGACAAGAGCCCGAGCTAGTGCAATACGTTGTTTTTCACCGCCACTTAACTGTATACCACGTTCACCAACAAGTGTTTCATATTTCTAAAAAAGAAATAACGATATACATATAAATATATATATACATATAAATATAGGTAAAAATGAGTATTTAGCGCAAACATTTGGCAACTGCATGATGAAGTTATGTGCATTGGCTTCTTGTGCTGCTTGTTCAATTTCAGCTCTTGTGGCATTTACTTTACCAAAACGAATATTTTCATAAACACTCACATCAAACAGAATCTATTTCAATAGCGAATGGAAAACGAAGAAGAGAGAAAGAAAACCGAAAACAAAGCATACGGGTTCTTGACTAACAACTCCAATGTTCTGTCGAAGTTGTTTAACATTGTAATCTGTTATCGGTCGACCATTGATCGTTATTTGTCCTGATGAAGGTTTATAGTAACGAAGAAATAGTGATATACATGTACTTTTTCCTATGAATAAATGATGAATAAAAATGAGATCACTTTAATATTTTTGTTTTTGAAAAAGACTTACCACAGCCACTTGAGCCTACGAGAGCGGTCGTCTGGCCAGCACGAGCAATAAGAGAGAGATTATGCAGAACTGATACTTCTTTTCGAGAAGGATAAATGAAGTTGACATTGTCAAATTCAATATCACCAGTGATATTATGAATCGATTCTGTATCCTCTTTCCATATATCTGTTTCATTGATGCTTGTTTCATTTGCCTACATCATGTAAACAAATAAAAACCATTGTATCAATATGAGACTTCAATCTATTCGGATTTACCTCGTCAATAAGCTGAAACACCGCTTCTGCTGCACCTCGTGCTTCTGAAAGTGATTGAAAGAAAAGACCAAAAGAACTGTAGAGGCTCAAACATCGTGCAAAGCTGCAAACGACCTGCATCAAAATAATAGCCGTATATTCGTTTCTTTTTAGACTAATTATATAAATTACTTACGACAAGAACATCACTTATATTCGAATTATGATGATCTTTGTGCGACATAAGAAGAGAACCAAATATAAAACCAACTGAATAAACTAGGTTAGTTTTTAGAGATACCCAGCCACTATAAAGCCCATATATGAAACCTTGGCGTATGCTACTCCAACGAGTTGGATACAATTCTCTTTCATATCTAAATGCAATAAAAATAACAACATACTCTATGTTGTCACATGAGTAAACTATTTATTTTTGTATTTCTTTACCGTTCTTGCTCAAATTTGCTACCATTGAGAGAAAGAACAGTTCGCAGCGAACTAAACACTTCTTGAACGATTTGTGCTGCTTTAGAGTATGTAATTAACTGATTCATGGCTTCATTAGCAATGAGCTGTGACAATGCATAAACATTTGATTAATGGAACAATACTTCATACCTTAGAAAAGACAAATGAGATACTAATGACCAAAAGCATCAAACATAGCATGACCAAAGTCAATTTCCAGATGACAATGAAAGACGCTATTAAACAACCAATAGTGATGAATAACGATACCAACAACATCAAGAATTCAAAACCAATGCCTTTCTCAATCTTTGCAATGTTACTACACGAGATTTGAATCAGATGGAGTCGTTTGATATAAAATATCACAATGACTTACTCAAACAGTTTAGCATGGAGTTGACTAGCTGACTTGGCATCCATATAAGAAATGCTCTAAAAATAAAGAGAAAGAAATAGTCAGAGATGAGCAAGTTCGACTGCGTCTCATTCTATAACTCCTATCATATTTTCCGAATTAAAATTCAACTCCAATTTAGATTTTTTTGACAATCATACTGTAGCTCTGACTATAAATTGTCATGCTCTACCCGATTTAACTTGATTAAGTTAAGTTCTATTGCATTTACTTCTGTAATCAATATTTCTCCTGCCAGAGTTATTTTTATTTTCACTTGAGAAATTATGAAGTCAACAGAAATTTTCTCGTGATTGATAAAAATCTATTAACTTCCGCTCCAATTCGACTGTACCTGTCGAATATCAAATACTATTATAATAGAGATCTAATAAACGAACTTTCGAACATGCCTCCTTTCGAATTCAATGATTTTCCGCTTGGAGCTACTAGATAGTAGTCAAGTAGAAACTCTCAAAAGATTTCAGTTTTTTTTTTGAGACTTAGCTGAGCTATCGAATTTTTAATAAGTCTATTTCCCAAATGTCCCGATGGAGCCCTAAGTTTTCTGAAAATTCCTGCTATTCAATTTTTTTCTTGAAACTACCTCTATTTGATGGTCTTATATACAGTTGGTTGTATGAAGAGTTGCAGAGTTTATAGATTTCGTATCGTCGAGGAAACAGCATTTCAAAACTAGATGCTATTCGAAAAGTAATGAATAATACAAGGATACTTTGAAGAGCTCCCATCTTCGAGATACAAAATCTACGAATTCTGAAATACTTCATACTAGAAGCTCTATATAAGACAAGGGGAAAAAACGGTATCCTGGAATCCTGAATTCCTCTGGATTCCAAAGATTCCCTGTGATTCTTTCGGATTCCAAGGATTCCACAGGATTCCGCAGGATTCCATAGGATTCCATAGGATTCCGTAGGATTCCGTAGGATTCCATAGGATTCCGTAGGATTCCATAGGATTCCGTAGGATTCCATAGGATTCCGCAGGATTCCGCAGGATTCCATAGGATTCTCTGGGATTCCATGACATTCCTTTGGATTCCTTAAAACTTCTCTAGATTTTCAATTAGCTTCTAAAGCTGTCAAAGAACTGCATCTGTATCACCCTTAGGTTTTCGTGCTGATTTTTTTTTTCGTTTTTCTTTGTTGTATTCGTTTGTGGTTATTGATATATGTATATATCGACAACTTCATATTTGTTTGCTGAGTCGTAGTTCATAGGGTTGCATTACCTCCGCTAGAAGCGTTGTGACCGAACCAATCTCCTCATTTATATATCAATAGATTCAGATCGATTTATCTTA